TTACTCCGAGGGCAGGACTGTAAAGCAACTCGTTACCATAAGGCTCCCTTCGCAAGGGAAGGACCTTCGGGGAATCGCAACTGTGAATCGATCCGAACGCAGTATCCATATGAAATTGGAAACTAACGTTGAATGAGGAGTGCGCTGATTATAGGCCTGGGTCAGGCTCAGCGGATTGAGGTCGTGCTAAATGGGCGAAGGCAGGCCGGCACTGCCGCCGCCGCTGCCTCCGAAGTGACATATGTCCGATAGTGATGTTTACGGAAATGTCTGGCCACGCTCGACACGCGACCACTTTTTGATTAGGTTGAAAAATATCGGCTATCTGCTCCTCAGCCCTCGTTTTTTTCTGCACTGCGCTTATTGGAACTCTTTTTGAGCATATTTTATGACCATATTTTGAAAGGCTTTCTCGATTCTCAGTTTCCTTCTTTTCTTACTCGTGAAAGGTTAAATTCCTGCTATGTTTTCTCTGACAATTTTTCAATTGCCCAACAATTCGAAAAGTAGCCCTGTCGAAAATGTATCTTTTCTTACCCAACCATGAGCTTCTCCTTCTCCTAAGGCTGAGTTAAGAAAGCAAACTCGGTGTGGGTCGAAGAAATTATTTTCCCCGAAGTTCTTCAAAATTCGGCGTGCCCACTCACTCACGCACTCGCGCCATCGGCTTATCCCCGGCCTCACATATAACGCCAGGAATTCTCCATTTGATGAGGTGCCGCTTTCTAAGTAATCGTCGTTCGATTCTCATATCAGCCGTAGACCTTGTTTGCCCAACACTGCGTTAACGGTCGATCAAATCACTCCTGTTGGACGGCCAAAGATCATCAACGGACCTTTTTGACTAGACGAAACTACTCGTTCTTGGAACACAGTTTGACGTCCCGATGCTTTTGGAATTCCCTTGGATGGCTTCTCATAAAGCTCTACGATTGTAAAGAACGCTACCAAGTCTCTATGATGGGAAAGTCCCGTGGAAAGTCGTACTCAGTTGTGGAAACAGTCTGACCGAACTAATCAAACTATCTGTCTAAGGACAGCAGGCCAAAAAAGACACCACGCAAACCACTCACGGCTCTGAAACCGGTTTCAGAATGAAGTAAATGATGAAAGGAAAGGGATAGTGGAGTTTTTCGTGTCAGAGAGTTCAAGGAAATGGACAGAGGCCAGAGACTGCACTTGGCATTACTCGACATTGCTGCACAGGTCGGGGACGGAGTTCAGAGTCAAGGGTTTGTTGCGACGTCTGTGTTGAAGGTTATAACTGTTGTCCTTGGGAGAAAAGGGGATGAGCATCGAAAAAAATTCTTCAATGCAGACATAACCCTGATGAAGCATTCGAAACGGTAGGTTGAGGGTAAGAATATTAGGAGCTTTCTAGTGGGTCCCATTTACAGTAGCGGTCAAAAGTGTTCGCCGAAACGATTTTTAGTGCATTATTTTTTCTCGCTTGAGCAACGCCCTCCAAAGATTGATATACTATGTTTTCTAGTGTTTTTATATCCTCAAGTCTTAAAGAATCAGGATATTCAAAAAAAATTTTCGAGGCCACCATTGATTTTTTTCTGGCAAAAAAAGGAAGCACGAAAAACCGTTTCGGCGAACACTTTTGACCGCTACTGTATGTCGTTCCAGAACCAGGGCCAGTTTCTCGTTATCCAAACGCTTCATAATCTCTAGATAACAGACGCCCAGAAAAGCCAATCCCATCCTAGTCTGGAGACGTCACCTCCTGGGTACAATATCTCAAGAGGGTGGTTCATTTGGTACACTGCTGCTCTGCGCGCTAGTGGAATGGGACAAATTGGATTACTCGAGTTTGCGTTCTCTGCGTAACGTTTTCTCCGCTCCTCCTCCATGACCGTGCCGTAGTGCTTACATTCTGGCAGCTGAGCAGTGATGGATCCGACCATTGAACATTCGAAAGAGAATGCCAATGGAATGAGCTAAACACTTGATTTATGTGGCGTTTTAAGCTTTACTTGTTCCAGCCCCCATAATGGACCTAAAGGCACGGACAGCGTCAGATCCTAGAGGAATATTTTCTTATGTGACGTAGAATAACCTCCAATCACAGGGTGGTAACACTGTAGCGGCTTGAACTGCGCGACAAGGTAACTGACATCTTGATCGCTGCGACCGCTGCTACGCTTGTCAATCGCAGTATACGTAGCGTCTACGCCCTCTAGCGAATGACCTACTCTCGCATCTATTCCTTAAGCTTGCGGCGCTTTTTCTCTCCGCCGCACCGATGTCGGTCTCACAAGAATAATTTGAATCTTTCCTATGTATCTTTTTTCGCCAATGTTCATCTTCGCACTTCTTGTCCGATTGTCGAACATAACACCCCCATTCGAGTGCAGCCGTGCCTTTAAATTGCCCTGCTCCTAGGCGGTATCTCAGATTCATTCTGTGCACAAGTGCTGTCAGAAGAGTAAGTGAAAAATACCCGTGGTAGCCAAGGCTGGTTTGCATAGCTATGGATTAGTTTTTGCTCGCTCCCTTCAAAAACAACCTCCCGCCGTCCGGTTACTTGCAATTCGTCCGCCTTTTCATAGGGCACTTCAGTAGTTGTGCGCTCTTCAGCTATACAAGGTTTTAACCCAACCGCGCTCCAGTAGTGGCTGTCGGGCACTTCTCTGCGGAGGTCTTGTATCCATGTGGGCTCTTTCCACATGGATATAAACTTCGCAGAATTTTGTTTCGTACGCAGTAATTGCCCCCGTAATGGGTCTTGCCACCAAAATGTCCTAGGGAATTCCTCTGTGAGTGTAAGAGCTCATTCCTGTTCACGTCTTCAGAATATGGGTCTCTTCCATCCCATTACTTCAAGGAACCTACCGTAACTACCGCCGAAGCCGTGCATATTTTTTCAATTCGAGTAACTGATAATAGTTTACAGGTTTTATTATTTCTAGGAGCCCACAACCAGGTTTCAAAAACAGTCAGCATGCTCCACCATTCGTGAGACCAGCGAGACTCACCGTCATTTCACGTGCAGATACTTTGATGTTTCGTGTAAAGCTGTATCGGATTCACATTAATGGAATGTGTGTTCAGTTTTTCAGTTTATTTTGGCTTATTTAGAGAATTGTTATATTCCTTTTATATGGGAGAGAATGACGATTTTGGCTTCCTTTACACGTACGCTTTCTTCAATACTAAATTTCTTAAATTAGACATAGCAGCACTCTTGAAGACTAAGGGTTTCTTGCCTCCCAATCAAAAATCTATGGTGAAACATCTGTATCGTTTTGTTATTTTGGAACCAAGCTTAGATCGGTTTCAGCTGCCATTATTTTTCTGTATTGCGTTTTTTATCGGAAACGAAATGTGTCCATTCTCAAGTTCCCTGTTGTTATCTTGCGTTATTATCTAATTGTGTGGTGCCGCCAAAGGCCGGAGCTTTCTGCGTTTCCATTTTATTCTGTTCTTGAAAAGTTATTAGAACATTTCGTAATTTTTTTCAAAGGTCACTCATCTGTTTACTGTACCTGTCAAACGCAGAACAGCACCTATTCCATCACAAAGAATTGCGAAACTCCAGTCTGACCAGACAGTCAGTTTGACCAGTTAGTCAGCTGTTCAAGTTTTGTTTTCAAAAAGTCGTCAGAGTGCCTAGGTTGTGAAAATGTCTGTTTGCTGGAATGCATTATAAGAGGTGCCAACGATAGCGCGCCACTGATTCGATCAATGAGCAAAAGAGGCTAGTCGTCCCCTGCGGGGTTAGTGGGATATTTCTCGTATTGGACGGTCACTTTACTGAGGCATTGCAGAAGTCAAAGCACCGGTCCAGTTGTTCGTCACCTTTAGCTAACGTAAATATCCTCACCCATTTCAAACGAGTATACTTTTCAGCAGATGGCCGCCCCCCCTCCCAACATTGATATTGCGGTCGTTTTTTATAACGTATTTCGTTCAAAGTTACTCACGAAAAAAACAGAAAATAAACTTCTAGCCTTACTAACAACCTGACTTTTAGACTAGCTTATCTGCTGTTCAACCCTTCCAGTGTGTCCAGTCGCCATTCACCTGACACACCAAGTAGACTGTATCCTTTGTGAGTTCTATAAAAGATTATCTAGTCTAAAATATTTGACTCGGTTACTCCTTCTATTGAGAGGCTGAATTATTTGACACACAATGCATCGGGGAGCATTAAAATCAAAGTAATACATTTTTGTAAGGCATTGCTTGAGCTTAATGGTCTGCTTAAACTTCCTGACGTCTGGAAAGAAGCACTAGAGCTAATCGTATTCAATCGTGGCTCTTTTTGTACAAGGACGAACACGATTATTAAGCATCACCCAGGTATTTTAAGATGTGTATAAGGGAGAATCAAGGCTACGAGAGGCGCTGTCTTTCGCTGCATTATCTGTATGACCGAGCTGCCAAGTCGTGGGTCGACATCAGAGTATATCCGAAATTGGTACGAATCGTCTAGTAGGTGAGAAGCAGCAACTCCAATTTATGTGTGCTCATTTCATATATTAGCCGAATATCCATTCAGATGTCTCTACCTTTTGAGCAAAAGTCGAATAGATGGCGCGGCTTCGAAATGCTTGATAAACTCCGCCTACCACAAAAATGCTCAGCCAAACTATACTTCACTCCATTCCCCATACTCACCTCATTACTCAGTAACAATACAAAAAAACTTAATTAGAAGATATTAGAAATTGATTCTCTACGAGATACTGTAGTGGAGAGGGGTTTATGATTAAAGGAATCTTGCGCGGAAAATTCTTGCACTCTTTCCTAACATGAATATGTCAGTTGTGATCACTGGAAATAGCACACAAAGTTTCACGCATGAAGATTCGGTTTCTGAAGAGAAACAAACGTACAAAAACTACACGTTATGGACCATCGAAGGACCAGGAGGCAGAGCCAGGCGAGGCATGGAAAGAAGACGTTTGGCCTTACGTACGCAATGAGAGAATCGGGTTAAAGCGCGCGATTTCGGAGAGTGGAGACAAATCGATCGATGGAATAGGATGGAGTAGAAGTGTAAGATGTGAATGCAACGAAGCAGAAGGCCAGAAAGAGCTTCTAGTGAATGCACTCCAAGAACCAAGTTTGAGCATCCCCGTCGCCAGCATTCGTGAAAGACGTCCGTGGGCAATTCGAACGCGTAGCAGCCTTTTCGAGTTTTCGAATTTCTAATCAAAACGAAAGCAATACTTCAGTTCTTTTCACTATTATCGTGGATAATGAGTCTCAAGCCAGTGATTTATGGCTGAAATAGAATCATGATTTTTCCGCGCAAGATTCCTTTAAGATTGCGTAGATGAAGTTAAGATTAGATGAGGCCTCGCACGGATGAACTATGAAGCAAAACTGCCAGTGAAGAAATAACTGATAAAACATTTAGCGCTGATCGACGATTTTTGGGGTGCGCCATGCATTCTATATCCGTTCGGGTTGTGTTGGCATTTGAATTCGATTCGGCCTATGCAATGAATCGTGGATGTCACCTAATGGATGTTTTACCCTCCGAACGAGACTGATACCATAGACTGACTCTGGAGAGATGGAAGGCTTGGTTGGTTGTCTTCGAGGAAATTTGATTAGATTTGGCCACTGGCTCACGGGCGCGGTATATGGTGCCACTTTCCACCACACCACCCCATCCTAGAGTCTGTTTGGGTGGCACAAATTGCATGGGCGCATCAGGCGTTTCAGTTATCTTATTGAGCTTCAGCAAATAATTTCATGACTTTGTTTAATTAATTTTAATTGGTAGCGCTAGTCGCAAGTCACCAGCTTACCACAAAAAAACTTAAAAAGTGTTCATTATCAGTTAAAATGTGACGTTTCTGATAAGGCGGTACTGGCGTTTATGGAGACATTTTTGTGCGTCCTTTGGAATCATGTTCATATAACGCAACCAGTTGTTTGAAAACCTTGGAAATCCGAAGAAGACAGTTCAAAAGCTTAGAAACAAGAATTTGAGCTATTCGTCTCGAAAGGAAGACAAAGTTGGTACTAGCTAGCTCACAGGTACAAGTCAGAAGGAGGACTGAATCAGACGAACAGGAAATGAATCATATTGGCTGATCAAACTCATGTCTGTAGCATGGCGCCACCGCGGTTGATAATTGCACGCTCCACCGCAAAATTTCCGCTCGGGTCACGTTGGAGCATGCATTTTTCAAGAAGCTGATAACAATCTTCTTCGTAGTTTGCCGCAGTTCTCATTTGATTCACCTTCAAACAAGGTTCCCACTGCCAGGCAAGTCCGTTTCTGCTTCAACGTTTCAAATTAAGGCATTTAAGCGAGAAATTTCATCAGTTCGATGAGAGGAAGTTTGTCATACGTCGGTAAACGTTGATCTACGCTATTCTTGAGAGGACGGCACTTGCGATGTTTGCAATGATAAAGCGGCCTCAATCCAATTCCAACTTCATCCTTCCAAACTAGTAACCCAAAACTATTTGAAACGAGGATTTTCAAGGGTGCAAAATGTTTTGAGCTGTTTTCTTCTGCGTGTATGTGATATCGATTGAGGAGTGTGTCATCCCTGAGGAAGATGCCAAGCATCGAAGTGTAATTGAAGATAAATTGTACTTTTTTAAATCTCTTGAGCGTTTGCTGAGATTTCAGCCGCTTCAGTGAGTTGTGGGTTATAAGGAAGGAGGCATTTTAGCTTCGCTAACACAAGATTCCGGCACATTTGGAGGTGCTATGGAAGATAAAAGGATAAAGCATTTGCCGTTGATCAATCCCTTTTTGGGATGCGGCACGCATTCTACTTCCATTTGTACATTCGTAGTGGCGTTTGAATGCGATGTGGCCTATACAATGACTTGCGGGGGCCAGCCGATGTACAAGTCAGTGTTTTTATCCTCCCAGACAAGTCTGGTACCAATTAACCGACCCCGGAGGGATGGAAGGCTTGGTTGGCCCGGGCGACTCACGACCCAGGATTTGATCCCCGGACCGCTCGCGTGGTAAGCGTGCCACTTGCCACTACACCACTTCCGCCCTCAGATAAGCAACGCAATTGATTTGGAAAAAAGTGGGAGTGGAAGTAACTTCAGGTTGCGTGAGCGGCATCCATTCTCCTGGAATCTCTGCTCCCTCTTTTAATGGTAGGGTATAATCCGTATCTTGGTGTAGTGCGTTGGGGGATTAAGCGAAAAGGACTAGCATATGATCTAACTGATTAGACTCGGCTTGAGCATTTTCGGAGAGTTCGCCTCCATTCTCCGTTTCTCTTGACCACTTTGCAGACACTCACCGATTCGCTGCATCTCCTCCACCCTCTTTAAAGGAATCTTCCACGGACCATGGACCAGTGGGCGGGACCGGAAGTTTTTGTGACGAAATGCATGGTAGGTACGGATCCACGTGTCGAACGCACGAACGTGAACAGGATTCACTTCAAACCTTCCCATGAACGTGGATCCGTACCTACCATGCATTTCGTCGCAAAACCACTTCCGGTCCCGCCCACTGGTCCATGGTCCGTGGAAGATTCCTTTAAGGTTGGCACGATTCA